GGTGGCATGTCACGTTGGTTCAGTGACCCCCACTTATCGGCGTCGTCAAGCGTTCTGGAACCGTGACTGCCCACGGTGCCCCCTACTCCGTACATAGCAGAGGCTTGGGATGATGGATCGTGGGCCGGACGCGGTTGTTTGAGAGGAGAGGAGGTGAACACGTACGTCACGTCGCATGTTGAGCGATTTGAGGATCCTCTCCGCCGGGCCCATGGCACAAAGGCATTCCCCTCCCAAGGCCCCGAGGGTGGGTGGCTCAATTGTCGATTTTCCTGAAAATCAATGTGGCTTTGCACAGAGGGGCGACTTTTCCTACTACTCCTCCACCCCAGCTTTCCTAGTCACGAGATGGGGATTTCTGCCGCGGCATTGGACGACGTGTAGCATGAGGCGGGATGAGCGACTCCACTAGCTGAGGCGTCAAGGCGAAATCTGTCCTGACTTGGCCATGATCATTGAGAGCTGTTGGCCTGTTGCAGCGCAATGTGGGCGAGGCGCTGCTTCTCGAATGCGCCGAGACATGCTCACCAATCGAAGAGGAAAAAGGATGCCAAGGGAGAGATGTGAGTTCGAAGGCTTGATGGCTCCAAGGAAGGGATGCGACACTGGCATTCGTCGTAATTGCGGCATGGACTCGTAAACACAACACGAGCGGCCGAGCCCTGCAGCTGAAGAAAGCTCGTGTCCCGGGCGTGAGCATACTCTTGCCTCCTCTCCAAGGCTTGATCTTCCGGGTTCCCCAGCATCTGTTCCCGTGATGCTGACGGGCGGGCAGAGATGCGCATCCATGATCCGGGGGACAAGAGGAGGCAAAAGTCGCGAGTTTAGTACGGGCCCGCCGGTCAGCTGTCTTCGGATCTGTAGGGAGAGCCCTTGCAGTCAAGGTTTCGAGCGAGCCAGACTCTAGAGACCGTGGCCCCCGCGGCACGTCCAGATGCGGACTTCATACGGGCGGTCCAGTATCGGCTTGCGGCGTACGACGGTCTACCGTTTTGACGTCTCTCCCCCAAGGATGGTAAAGATGCTGTGCGCCGTCAATTGACTTGGAGTTTGAAGACGAGACTGCGAGCGGCAGCGGCAAGCAAGGGAGGGTGGAGGGCAGGCATGGGCAAATTCGTCAATCTCGGCAGGGGAAATTGGGGGTAAGGCTGGGTTGACGAGGCCTCGCGGAAACTCGAATGTGTTTGGCGGGTTGAGGCGATGTGCTTGTGTGCCAATGCAATGTGCTATGCGCCAGGAGTTATGTTGCCATTGGGGCTGACGAGTCGCCGCAATCTCGAACTGGAACGTCGAGTCCTCAAAGTCCCCATCGAACAGCTACACCTCCACTTTTTCCTCTCTGTCGCGGCCATTGAGAACCTGGAAAGGCTCGGAGGGCCGAGTATAGTGTCTCTTCCATTGCCGAACGTGCTGTGAACTTGTGATGGTGTAGGGGGCACCTATCCCCACACACGGATCGCCGGGAGGGTTTGTATGTTTTCGTGCTTATATGTAGCTGTTTCTGTAGTCTTGTAGGCTGTGCTCGAGCTTTCGTGCGGATAGTGGTTTTTTGAGTTTGAAAATCGATGCTTTGTACAGATAGAGTAGAGAAGCGTACTCGGTAGAACGGGAGCGAAAGTCGAAAAGCTGGAGAAAGTGATGGGTGGCAGCCCCTGACAGCTGGGCCTTGCCTGAGCTTGGGGCTGGGCTGGGCGTTGCGGCGTAGCGTTGTTGCATGGCAGCATGGTCCTTTCCTTCCCTGGACTTTGCGACTTCTTCTTTTTTTCCCTCCTCTCGCCTCGGAGCCCCACTCTTGTTGACGGGATGGGATTGGACGATGGGATCACATGGGGGCACTGCGCACGGGGAGAGGAGGGAGGCCATTGGATGGGATTCCGCATTGGCCATGGGACGGTACGTCTTCCGGTCTACGTACCCTGAATTTCGATGAACCAGGAAAGAACAGAGAGCAGTCCTACCTTCCTTTGGTTATCAACATCTTCAAATATTTAGCTACGAGAATATCTCTGTGTCTAAGTCACCGTAAGTTATAATTGGAACACCAGACATCAAGTGTCAACCATGCCTACCTACAAGTAGCTCATCCAGGAAACGTGGAATGGTGAATGGCTCTGATTGGGATATAAAAAGTCTAGAACAATGTACCAAAATGCCAGACACTTTGCAGCCCAGCATGTTGGTGCTAATCCCGCCCGTTAGTGTACCCGTTCGAACCCCCCATTCCGCCCCTGGGCCCCTTCTCTTTCCCCCCTTTGGGTGCCCTGTGCTTCTTGCCGTGCTGCCCCCAATTGATTGCCATCGCAGGCAGCCCGGTCGAAGTACCCGTACTATAGAAATTACAGTATTGAGTGACTTGCAGCTTGTAATTGACCGGGACCTTGGGGGGTACAGATGTCGTGTCATTTTTGAAGGTGCCTTCTCCCTCACCACCCTGCGCCTCTTTTCGCGTCTCTCCTGCTCTTTCTGCCTTCCCATCTGTGACCACTGACCACTGGCCAACCGTGGACCTCTGACCTCCCTTTTTCTCCCCATCCCAACTTTCTGAACTCCCCTCGTGGCTTCCTTCACTGCACTCGCTCAACCTCTTGCCTTTTGCAACTTTCTCATCCCAAAAGGTCTTCTTCCACTTTCCCATCTTCGGATTCTACTTTCCACAAGCAGGATTCCACTGTATACCCTTTTCGAGAAAAGGCACGCCTGTCTCTCTCTGTTTTTAACAACCTTCTAATCGTCCATTTCTGGAACTGCAAGAGCTACCCCTTTGGTCACCTCAACCAAATACACGCCTGTCCTCCTCTCTGAAAAAGCGCAGCTTCCCCTTGTCGCCAAATCCAGTCACACCGACCAGGCCAAGAGAACCTCTTCCCTCTTTCAACTCTTCACACACTCGTTTACATACGCACCTCACCCACGGAAGCTACCACGTCTTCCTTTCTCTACGTCGCACAACGATATCGAACCATCACCTAACCCCTCAACTCCAATACCATCAATATGAAGGGTAAGTGCTTTCCCCATACGAACAGCTACATGCGCTTCAGCCTACCCCCAATCCCAGCCTTGCACAGCGATCAGCTATACTCGACGCTGGCTGGCGGCAGGCGCATTATGTGGTCAGCAGTGACGCAGACTTGCTAACTTGCTTGAACAGCCATTATTCTCGTCGGCGGCTTTGGCACTCGTCTTCGCCCTCTGGTACGTTCATTTCTCTCCCTCGCTTGAAAACGCAGCATACAGCAGCAGCAGGTTTCTGCCAGCGGCTGCTATACCTTCCGCACTGATCGAACATTTTACTGACCTGTTTATTCCAATGCGCAGACCCTCACCCTCCCCAAGCCCCTGGTCGAGTTCGCGAACAAGCCCATGATTGAGCACCAGATCGAGGCCCTTGCTGCTGCTGGCGTCACCGATGTTGTCCTCGCTGTCAACTACCGCCCCGAGGTCATGGAGAAGCACTTGGCAGAGGTGGGTCTTTCCATGAGCTTCCCCTCTACAGCTATGATAAATACTGACTTCCTTCATCCATAGTACGAGAAGAGGTTCGGCTTGAACATCACCTTCTCCGTCGAGACCGAGCCCCTCGATACCGCTGGTCCCCTGAAGCTGGCCGAGAGCATTCTTGCCAAGGACGATACCCCCTTCTTCGTCTTGAACTCAGATGTCATCTGCGACTTCCCCTTCAAGGACCTGGCCGAGTTCCACAAGAACCACGGCGATGAGGGCACCATTGTGGTCACCAAGGTCGAGGAGCCTAGCAAGTATGGCGTCGTTGTCCACAAGCCTAATCACCCCACCAAGATCGACCGCTTCGTCGAGAAGCCCGTCGAGTTTGTCGGCAACCGTATCAACGCTGGCATGTACATTCTCAACACCAGCGTTCTCAAGCGCATTGAGCTTCGCCCCACCTCGATCGAGAAGGAGACCTTCCCCGCCATCGTCAAGGATGGTCAACTGCACAGCTTTGATCTCCCCGGCTTCTGGATGGACGTTGGTCAGCCCAAGGACTTCCTTACCGGCACCTGCCTGTACCTCACTTCCCTCACTAAGCAGGGTTCCAAGGAGCTTGCCTCCCCCTCAGAGCCTTACGTCCACGGTGGCAACGTTCTGATTGACCCCTCTGCCAAGATTGGCAAGCACTGCAAGATTGGACCCAACGTGACGGTCGGCCCTAACGTCGTTATTGGCGACGGCTGCCGTCTTCAGCGCTGCGTTCTGCTGCCCGGTTCCAAGGTCAAGGATCATGCGTGGGTTAAGAGCACCATTGTCGGCTGGAACAGCACTGTTGGCAAGTGGGCTCGTCTTGAGAACGTCACTGTCCTCGGCGACGACGTGACGATTGGTGACGAGATCTACGTCAACGGTGGCAGCATTCTCCCCCACAAGAGCATCAAGGCCAACGTCGACATCCCCGCCATCATCATGTAAAACCAAACCCAACAATCGGAAAAAAACACTATACCCGGGCCTGGACGAACACTCCGAGGGTCCGCGCTCTTCACACTTCTTGTCTGCACGCCCGTTCTTATCGACTTTCTAATTTCAAGTTGCGATACGATTCACCACTCCACTCATGAGTCTTCAAACTTCAAGAAACGGGGGCGGAAACCAAACACTACATTTTTGGCTGGCGTCGGCAGGGGGGAATCATTTGGCGAGCACAGAAAAGCACTTGGCTTTGCGATGTTTTACTTACTTTTTTGCGTTTGGGAAAGATGATGGTCCCCAATTTCGTTACGAAATGCAGACGAACGGTGTCGAGGGCTGTTTCCCAGCTTGGAGGATATCTCCCTCGATGTGCCGTGGACATGGAAGACTCCCAACCGTGGGGGTCATCTGTGAGACAGATGAGAATAAAGATGATACCTCTGAATTTGATGCTCCGAACGTGCTTTGAAGATGGTGACAATTCGTCGTAATGCTCAAGCGCATGTCATGCGAGTATCTCGTGATTTGATGTGGGGGGAAGGAGGGGTGGAGGGATACCTTAGATGACGGATCACATTTGCGCCTTCCTCGTGTGGATGGGTGAGTGGGTGCACAAGGCAAGCAAGGCAAGAAGCTGACTTGATAGGTATCCTGTCTAAACGAAAATAACTTCCCCCCAATATCATACCACCATCCCAAAAAATAGGCTTCTTTCTTCTTTTCTGTATACCCAAGTACTCCAAGCAAAACCGTCAAATTCAGATGCTTTCTACACTTTTCTCTATTCCGCATTATCACGCACCCAACCCCTCGACATCTTGACAGCCTGCTCCCACTTTTTAAACATCTTTTGGCTCGTCTCCTTATCGAGCGCGGGCGTGAAGATCTTGCGCCCGTTCTGGTTGACGTGCTTGAGGTCCTCGAGCTCGTCCCAGACACCCAGCGCGAGGCCAGCGGCGATGGCGGCACCGAGGGCCGTCGTCTCGCGCATGGCCGGGCGGTCGACGCGGATGCCGCTAATGTCGGCCTGGGACTGCATGCAGAGGTCCGAGTTGGAGAGGCCGCCGTCGACGGCGAGGTTCTCGAGGGCGTGACCCGAGTCGTTGGCCATGGCGTCCAGGATGGCTTTTGTCTGGTAGCATGTCGCTTCAAGGGTCGCGCGGGCGATGTGGCCTTTTTGGGTGTGCGCTGTGATGCCGACTGTTTTGGGCATGTTAGTGATGTGAGTGGTGTTGATTGAGAAATGATGACTTACACAGAGTTCCCTTTGCGTCGTCGATCCAGTACGGCGCAAAGAGGCCGCTGAACGCCGTCACGAAGACAACGCCGCCGTTATCCGGGACCGTCTCAGCCAGCTCTGAGATGCGAGACGAGTCTTCGACGAAAGAAAGGTTCTTGACGAGGAACTTGACGCCCGAGCCCGCTACCGCGATGCTGCCCTCGAGGGCGTATACGGGCTTCCTGCCCTTGCCGAAATCGTACGCGACCGTGGCCAGGAGGCCTGACTTGGAAATGACGGGCTCCTCGCCGACATTATACAACAGGAAGCAGCCCGTACCGTAGGTGTTCTTTGCCTGGCCCGGGGAGAAGCCGCACTGGCCGACGAGGGCGGATGACTGGTCGCCCAAGCAGCCCGCGATGGGCACGCCCTTGAGGACGCCGCGAGCAAAGGAGCCGAAGGCGGTCGGGTCGGAGGAGGGGACGATTTTGGGGAGGTGGATCTTGGATTGGTCGATGCCGAAGAAGGAGAGGAGAGTATCGTCGTATTTGAGGGTGCGGAGGTTCATGAACATTGTGCGGCTGGCGTTTGTCGAGTCGGTGACGTGGATCGCGTCGTCGCCCTTGTCTGCGCCGCCGTTGAGGCGGTAGATGAGCCAGGAGTCGACGGTGCCGAAGGCGAGGTGGCCCGCGTCGTAGGCTTCACGGATGGAGGGAACGTTGTCGAGTAGCCAGCGGAGCTTGACGGAGGAAGGGTAGGTGGACAGGGGCAGACCGCATAGGTCCTGGAGAGCGTCTGCGCCGGGGCGGGCGCGGAGTTCGCGGACGAGGGAGGTGGTGCGGGTGTCGGGCCAGACAACGGCGTGGTGGAGGGGTTCGCCGGTGCGGACGTCCCAGAGGACGGTGGTCTCGCGCTGGTTTGTGATGCCGACGCCGCGGATGTTGGCAGCGGAGTAGCCTTGTTCAGCGAACTGGGCCATGGCCTTTTCGACGCATTCTTCGACCGAGGAGAGGAGCTCGAGGGGGTCGTGCTCGTGCCAGCCGGAGTGAGGGTAGTGGTTCTCAAACTCGATCTGGTGGCTTGCGACGGGGTCACCGAGGCCGTTGAAGATGAGGAAGCGAGTCGAGGTCGTGCCTTGATCTATGCTGCCTACGAACCAGTGTTCTTTGAGTTCTTCTTGGGTCTCTGTGATGCCGGCTGGGAGATGTTCGGCCGGGTCTGCGGCCACGCGCGGGCGCTTGGTTTCTCTTGTGTCGGCCATTGCGTTGTCGGTGCCGCCGGTGCTGTTGTGGTAGGTTGTTGGTAAGTCTAGAAGAGGAGGGAAAGGAGAAGGAGGACAGAAGGGGAGTAGGAGTAAGAGTGAGACAAATACAAGGGGTATCTTGAGGGAAAAGGTAACGGAGACAAGAGAGGGGCCGAGGAAGAGAAGAAGAAGCTAAAGACTAAGCAAGCTGGGGCTCTGGGGACTTCAATGGGGAACGGGGAGGGTCGGGGGGACCACGGGGGGCATCACGCGGAGAGAAGAGCAAAATCGACAGCGCCCCTGGGGTTGTACGGGATTTGTTTCTGCAAGCACGCGCAAAAGCAAAGGGGGCCGTAGGAGCCGGCGTGGGAGGCGGGGCGGGACGGAGGGAGACGGGAACAAGTCGGGATCGTGGATTTCGCGATGGAGCACGAGGCGATGGGACTCGGGAGTGAGGGTATGTGTGTGTACAGGTATAGGTTGTGGTTCTTGTGTGTGGATGATGACTGACTGTCTAGCTAAATATGCCGTCCCTCGAGGAGGCTGGTTGGCGGTGGTGGTTGAGGTAGTACGAACGGCGGGGGACTGAGACTTTGACTGAGACGAAGTAATCCTGGGCTGTTCGTCTCGTGAAGCTCCTGCGTCTATTCCAGCCGCACGAACACCGTTGCCGTTGTTAGTCTCTGTCTCTGCCGTGGCATTATTTCCCAGGGTCGCCTTTGTTGTCCGTGTTGCCTGCGGCTGCGACGACAAATTTCGGACGGACATGTGCTGCAGCAGCGGCGGCCCCAGCTGGAGCTTCGCGCCGGTGCTCGGCATGATGTCAGAAGCGGGCGTGGGGCGCTGATTGGAGGAAGAATTGAGGGGTTTGGGCCTCGCGCGAAGCTCCCGCTGCTGGTGCTGCTGCGCTGCCGTTTTGCACGTGTAATATCCCGTACTAACTATACCATTCTCACCAGTGTCGCTTTCACCTCTGCGGCCGCGTATACAACGCCTATGGGCCGTCCATGGTCTCAATGGCTTCGTCCTCGGCCTCAGACTCGGGCTGAAGAACTTGTCTGCCGGCTCGCTGGTACCGGAGACGACGGGACCCAGAAAGGGGGAAATCCTGGGGAGTGATTGGGGGGTTTTGAGGACGCGCGAGAGGATTTGGGGATGCATTAAGGAAATTGGGCCCAATACTGGGTCTCAGTAGTCGTAGATCGAGCTCGAGGGGGCTCGGGAATCGAGAGGGATTTGCTGCCTGCATACGAATTCGACAACGCGGTAGCAAATAGTAGAGATGCTGCTCTGTCGTTCGTCTTCGCGAAATGTTTTTTTGCGCCGCTGGGTCGCTGGTTCGCGAATGGGAATCCCGAGGTGCGTTTGATGGAGACATGGGGCGGCTCTGGGTCTCGGGCATGGTCGGGGTTTGAGAACCGAGGGTTTCTCCATTTTTAGGTAAAATGTGATGGGTCTGCTGGGGTCTGGGGTCTATGAGTTGACGGGCCTTCACCGAGGTGAGGGTGGTGAACGGACTGTCACCGGCGCTAGGTTTTGACTACATCGTAGGCGTGAGTGGAAGGCAGAGCTAAGTGGGTGACATAATCGTTTGCCGCTCTATGAACTCCTAGCTCTTTTCTTGCTATTCTTCTTTCTGCTATACATTCTCTAGTGATGATACAGAGTATATAAGTAACAGTACCAATATAGATTGAAAGGTTGAAAAAAAAATGAACAAAAAGCTAGGAATAGTGATCAGGTCGTACATAAGTACTGCAATATCTTGTTGAGCGGCATTACATCTTGTCACCCACTTGACTACACCGCAGTCGTGGTTTCTATGAGAGCGTTGAATAGGGGGCCACATAGAGCAAGGTGTTAATGGTCTATCCGTCTCTTAGGACCTTATGCACGGGGGCGTTCTCATATTTCAATTTGCCCATGATGGGAGCAGCCGCCCAGAAGGGGTAAGAATGTTCAGACTCGTCTGCTGCTGCGGTCGCGACTTGTCTATAGCTTGGGAGACTATTGCGATTTACCGTGGAGATGATGAACGTTATGAGATCGTGAGTGTGAACTATGTACCTGGTATCGGTTGTCTCTAAGTAGGAATGGATGACCTGTTTAGAAAGGGTGATGGAAGTTGCTGATTGGATCAGTGTTGATGTCCAAGACAGCGGGGGGCTAAGGGCTAAGAGCGTGATTGAGTGGAAACATCACAATCTATTGTGATGTTGCGTCTCTTTGGATCGTTTTGAGACATGCTTATGCCTAGGCATGATCCCTGATGGCGTTAAGCGTCACAATGGCAACGCTACTGCTGCGGCCTTTGTTTCCCCCCGATTGAAGAACTCCTGAACGCCGTCGATTCATGGAAATCATTGGAAAAAGGACTTCAACTGTTTATATCCCCCCAACCCCCAGCCCTCTTACGAAAGACAAGAAGTAACAGCGCCCCAGACTGCATGGTCTTCACGCTCCACGTCAAGAACTGTTGAGCTAGTCATACTTTCATGTATGCTTAAGAAGAGCGAGGCAAGGAACGCTCCTGAGATGGCAACAAGGGGGAGCACCGGAAGGATCCTGTCGAGGACCAGCTCCGGTCCCTTTAGTAATGTGGTTAGAGTCGCATAGGACAGTAGAACGAATAGAACGGAGTAGCTGGATTTAAACTGTGAGTTTCTTTGTCTTTGATAATCGCTTGGGGGCTAACACGTACGCGTTGGGCATCTTGGACATGTGACGCCACGTGAGAAATAGTACACTGTCCGCGAGTGCGGCACTGCACCAAAGGCTGTTTACCCTCGTTAGTGTATAGATATCGAAAGCCTTGGTGACGACTAGACAGACCAGTTGTAAAGCGGCGGGGAAATAGGCTCATCGTGCGGAACCGCAATATACACAGCTACGATTGTTGTCGCAACACCTCCGACTTTGCGCAGTATCGTGAGGATACGGCCACGGCGAAGTCCACCGATTCGACGCCCAATACCGATATGACGCCAGATTCTAGAGAGACAATTTGTCTTCGTGTCAGTAAGTCCCCCTTTTGCTCACGAAGTTTGAAAGAACAAATCAAAACGCACTCGATGCTATAGATTGCCGGAAGCCTCAGGAGTCTCTGAGGCAAAGACATTGACCTTTCCGGTGGAGCTGGCTCCCCAAGCTGCTGGATCTCTAGGTCTTGCATCTCCATCAGAACGTAGTTGGCTAATCGTAGATGTACTGGGGAGAATGCAGTATTCGATGTTTGGTTCCAGTGTTGCTGAGAACGATGGGCATGGCTGTCTTTCGAGACGTCAAAGTTAGGAGGGGAGGAAGCATAAAGAGGGAGCCCGAGGCCTCTTCGGGTAGCTAGCCTGACTGAAATGCTGTGTAACGCGGTGGAAGTGAGGCTGGCTATTCGGTTGGCTCCCACTTACGCGGCAGTGCTCGATACGAATAGTGCAACAGTAAGGCTCGGTGAGGAGTTAGGCCGCACTTGAGTTCTGAAGAGGCGTTGAACCAGCCAGCAACATTGCTAAAACAACAAGAAGCAACTCGAGATACGCTGCAGGGACGAAAATTATAGACGACCCATCGAACATCTACGAAATGACTGATCCAGGCGACTTGTCCGCTCCACGATGGGGGGAAATTCGCATTGCTGAGCTTCTCGACAGGGTTCAACCAGCACATTATTCGCAGCCTGTTGAATCCGGGCCTTCACTTGTCTCCATGAATTGTGTGGAAAAATTGGGCTTGAAAACCTTGCCTTCGACACCTAGCGCCTGGAAGCAGAGATCTGCCAGCTACCCAAAGAGTCGCATGGCGAAGTTGGCAGCAGAGATGGCGACGATTTTTGGCTCGATCATTTTGAAGGAGAACGCTGTGCTTGGCCAGGCGCGAGAACCTCTCGAATCTCCGACTTCTTGGGACGCTGGACTTTCCGCCCGATCTGAGATATCCGGCGAGAGATGGCACTCAGGGATAGGAAACTTCTTGGGAAACCCCATGACACAAATGGTCCGTGGCATAGTGTACTATCTTCTAAAAACTAGCTAACGCATACCTTCTGCGCAGATCACCCGGATCCTCACGACCCCGACACCCAGAATGCTGATGGTCGGCCTGATCACCTATGGCATCGGAGCGTCGACGTTGTATCACATGAACCATAGACACAAACATCAGGACGCCGTTATAGCGGCAGGAATCGTGATCGGGGGATGTCTGGGAACATTCATGGATATGGATGGACAGGCCATACTACTGCGCATTCTTCCGTGGGCAATCCTCGTAGCCATATGGCTAAGCGATATGGGGCATCGATCCTTCGGGACCCGCAATGCTCAACTAGCAACGATTAGCTCGGCAACTTGTTGAACTTGAAGGGATTCACGATTTGGAAGCGGAAACACACGGTTATCGAGACAGCGGAGAGGCATACACTCGGTTTATGCTCGAAGGAGTGAAGGATCTCTTATGTATCACACGTATGTTTGTGCAATATAAACCGGCGATTGAAAACCCATTGCGAAATTGCCCCCAGTGATTTTCGCAACACGCCATGAACTACTCCCAGCCACTACGGGCGACCGTCATCAACGAAGGCATAGCTGGAACAAACATCAAGTGAGTATTCAATGAAACGGCGATACACGACGATATCAGCCAAGGAGTTAAAAGCGGGAACCGAAGGGTTGTCTGATAAACCAGAAAACTGAGTAGGCCATGGCAGTCAAGTGGGTGATGAAATCGGTTTCCTGCCATACATATTGATAAGTACCCCTTACACCACTCATATCATAATCACTACCTCTTTCGCATCAAAGTCTTTCTTATGTACGCCATACTATATACTCTGTGTAATAGATATAAACCCTGGTGATAGCAGCGGTAGAACTACTTGTCGGATGTGTCGAGCGGAAGTCAATTTGGTCACCTACTTGGCAATGTCCCAACATTCAGAGGTACTATATGCCATTGCCAGATGTTATCGAAAGTCTGTGAACATTGCCCAATTCGACAAATACAGAATTCAACCCATTCAGCAATAAACAGATTAAATCTATGCTATGATGTCGCTCAGGGGAATCTAGGAGAATGAAATGAAGATTTTGCGTGAGAGCTGAGGGCAGGCGTCCTCGTTCGCCCAGAATGAGCCATCGTCTTGAGAGATGCACCGAGCATTCCATTCACGCCTTGACATTAAGCAAATTACTTACGACAGTCACCCAGATTCACCTTAGTGGGCTGCTTGTCCTTAGCCTCAGGAAAAGGCGAGCGCTATAATCATAATATGAGGCTATTCGCAATTATTACCACTTACTCAAAACTGTGAAACCACGACTTAAACCAAAAAGCCAAAATTCACATGAATCGGAGTGAATTTTAATACATCAACCGTATGTTACGACAGAAGTAGGTAAGAAATAAGAAGTACAAAAAAATGCAAAAGATAGTACACGCCCAACTTCAGCCGAGGCTCGAACTTGCGCGTCACGCGGGGCAACCAGAGAGAGCCCGATCGGGATATTTTTTTTCTCTCAGCATGCTGAGGTGATACCACTAGACCAAGTGCACTTGGTCTAGCGGTACCGCCTCATCTGGTGAAAGCAAAGCGAGTCGAAGCGCCTCATGAGGGTATGGACGGGAGATGGCAAAGACATCCGGGTGTAGAGCAGGTAGGTGAGGCAGGTAGGTGAACTTGCGCACAGCCTTGGGAAGAAAGGTATGTCAGTTCAATCCAAAACCTTCCCGCCGTACAGCCCGGTCGTCTATCTACCCAAGGTATATACAGCCTCAAACTGTGTGGATGGTCCGGCTACTGAGAGCTCAGAGTGAACACCCTGATGACCACGTCTTGCTACGGCACCATCAACATGCCCCATGCCATGGCCGTACAAAACGTTTGAAACAAAAAGCCCGCTGCGCCATGATAAGTCCTGATCGGTGCCTTTCAAAGGGGAGACAAAGAATTGAGAGGAGAATTAGTGGGTATCACAAACGTATCCTGTCCTCCAACCACTCCGCAATGGCATCCTCCCCACGTTCACCAAGCTCAAGCCCCTTGTTCTCACCAACCTCGACGACGGTCACCCGCCTCTCAGCCTCAGCTTCCACGTCAAAGCCCTCGTCCCACTGCAACCTCGCCTTGAACTCTAGCTTCTCCAAGCTCCGCCTCATCAACCCTGCCAGCTCCGTAGCCTGGGCCTCAAACGTGTGCCCTGCCACTTTCCGTCTCCTCGCCGTCCTAGAAGCGAGTTCTCCTGCCATGGAAGATGCCAAGCTGCTTTTCCTCGTCGTCGTCTTCCGCTTCGTCACAGGTTCAGTCGGGGTATCATGAAGCAACAAAGCGTGAGGCAGCTTGAGCGTCGACTTTCTCGGCGGGAACACAAGCGCACTCCGCCTCGGGGCTGCCATCCTCAAGCCTTCGGTAAGGCCAAGGATATCAGCCGGCTTCACGTCCGAGTTGACAGAGGAAAGCCGTTCCAGCAACGACGACACGGCCTCTGCCCGTAGGAAGCTCGACGGCGCGTTCATGCCGGGCGTCTGGAAGAGAAGACTAGGGCTCACAAACGGGTCGAACAGGTCTACCGGTGCGCGAAATAGATCTATCATCTTCATCTGCAGCATGTGCAGCGTCGACCCTTCTTCAGGCCGCGGCGGGAGCTTCTTGCTGCGCGCGGTGGCGGGCCTGTTGATCTTGTGGTCCGGGAGGAACATCGACCAGTTGTAGATGCCGTTCCAGGCGATCAGTCCACGGACGGCCATGCGCGCGTGGTGGTGGGACTCGGTGAGGGCTAGCGAGGTGGCGATGCTGGCGCCGGCGTGTGAGCTGTAGACGTAGATATCGCGGCGGGAGTTGGTGCCGGAGGGTAGGAGGTTTTCTGTGATCCAGGTGTAGCCGGCGAGGACGTCGTGCAAGGGAGTGGGCCATGTGAGAGGCGTGGTGAAGTTGAAGTCGGGTTCTGGGTCGTGTTCGGCTTCCGGTGGGGTGGAGACCGGAGACTCGGACCGGGACGGGGACCATCGGTAGTTGATGACGGCCGTTGGGTATGGCATGAGGAAGTGGGGGACGGGGGTCAGGTATCCCGGGGTTGGTGAGAAGGGCGGGATGTACACCATCAAAGGAGTTGCGGTGGGATGACGGTTCACATTGTGAAGACTGATATTTGCGTTAAAACAGAAGTCATGACCGGGTGAGATGGAGTGAGATATACTCTACTGTGATGGCCCCTGAGGAGCGACAAGGCACATCGACGGACTCGATGTCAGGCCTGTCAAGATGGAAACATCTTCGTTGAAAGACATGAGTTGGGCGCAGACGAGACGACAGCCAAGGTGCCGGCCATCTTCTCATCGTCTATGAATATAAGACAATAGCAGGACGAGCTACTGAAACACTCATGTCCAGTTGGTCGGTCGCTCACTCACTCATTCACTCACAAACTCATACTCATGTGAGTACCTTGGATGTAAGTGTATGATTTGGGTGAGTAAGTTATCCGAGTAAACAACCAACTGCCATTCCCCAGACGCGTTTTTTCTCACTAAAATGTAAATGGACCACCCTCGGACCAACCAGCGGCCATTCCGTCTCCTCCACACCACAATCATCTCCCATTTCTTCAGCCTTCGTGTTTGCACCGCCGCAAACTGTCCCCCACACGTCACCTCTGCTAAGCTTCGAGTTCTTGGTCAAGGGTCCCCTTCGACTCCCACTTTATTGCAGTAGCGTCTACGTCGTACTACTACTGTGTCCTGGCACGCCGCACCTCCCAAGAATTTGACCCCAAGCGCCGGAGCAACCACCGCTGAAATGGAGCCAAGGGATCGCTGTTTCGGGAGAGATCATGAGCTCTGTCCTACTGTAGGCATGGGTGACCTGATCTGTCTTATGATTGACACCAATCTGTTGGCGACATGCGATCCGGGGGGCATATTGCATGCCAAGTGAAGAAAGATATATATAAGTTTGAATGCCAAGGACGAATGGTGCAAACGGTCACGGCGGAACTGGCGGCCAAATATTTCTTCAAATACAGAAGATCGCCGAATCTTGCGAGGGAAGCACACACTCGAGAATCTGAGATGGTCAGACAGAGATCATCCGGCCGTTTACGATCTAAACTAGGCCACGCAACAAAACGCCCGTCCGTTGCGTTCCTCGCTACGTATTGGAGCACATCTTTTGACGTGTCTCAGTTATCTGATCAGTAGACGCGAAGAGGAAGAAAAACGAGAGCAAAAACAAGGCGCGAGTGCACACCCTCTTCGGCTTCCCCCAAACAGACGTCATCGCGAAGTGCCTTCATCCCCCTCCGTCTGGGGCACCCCGGCTAGCACGGATACCAGTAGTACTTTCAGGAGTCTAGACTCCCGACTCTATGGATCCTCAACCTCGATGAGAAAAAGGAGATTTCGAGAATTCCCCTCTTCTTCAACATAGTTATCAACTACGGCCAAGAACTGTCAAGATAATCGTCCAGAAGACTCTAGCGTCGTGTTCCTGAGAAATCTTACCTAGGTAGCTTGCAGCAGCCGGGAATGCCTTCACCTTCGGCGGATCCACCACACCGCACCCGCTCATCTGCCCCGCGCGGCTTGCCGCTCGACCCAACCTCGACGCCGCCATGAACGACGCCGACCTGGGCGATAACATTGACGAGCGCATCGGCCAGCTCGAGCAGTCCAAGAATCCCCGGAGCAGCGAGAAGCGCTTCGCCAACGATGTCGCACACCTCGACCCGAGCCGGTGGTGGTTCGCCTCCTCCGCGTTTCCCATGATCGCCGGCACTCTCGGCCCCGTTGCCTCGGCGTTCAGTATCTGCGCCCTCGTCCGGCCTTGGCGACAGCACTACCCGCCCGGCACCGACATCACCACCGCCGCTTTTGAGCCGGATCCGAAATGGTTAGACCCCCGTCTCATCCAGACATTCGTGTTGTTCACGATTCCTCACACTTCCCATGTGTGAGCCATGTATCAACACTGACATGAGGCTAACGATGTTTGCAGGCTCATCATTGTTAACGCCATCCAGCTGGCGATAGCAATCATCTCAAACGTCTTTCTCCTCCTCAACATGGCCCGCCGCGTCCGCTTCTCTCTCGCCCAACCCATCACCATCGTAGGCTGGTACATGTCCGCCATCTGCCTCGTCGCCCTCAACGCCACCGCCGCTGGCCCCTTGGTGATCGAGCCCGCCGAGGAGTACATCTTCTCCCAAGCCTTCTACTACGGCATGTTCGCCGCCATTCTCTACTTCGTCACGGCCTCCCTCATGGTCGTCACCGTCTACGGCGCCGCCACCAGCCACTACGCAAAGGACTTCCAGCTCACCACTGCCCAGCGCACCCTCATGCTCCAGACCATCCTCTTCCTCTGCTACCTGCTCGTCGGCGCCCTCGTCTTCTCTACTATTGAGAGTTGGTCCTACCTCGACGCCGTCTACTGGGCCCAGGTCACCCTCTTCACCGTCGGTTTCGGCGACTTCGCTGCCGCATCGCCCCTCGGCCGCGCCCTCCTCATTCCCTACGCCCTCGTCGGCGTCATCTCTCTCGGTCTCGTCATCGGCTCAATTCGAAGCCTCGTCCTCGAGCGCGGCCGCCGCAGGCTCGACGCCCGCATGGTGGAAAAGAAGCGCCGCCAACTCATCCGCACAATGACACGCAAGGGCAAAGACGAGATCCTGAAGCCCATCCACCCGGACACCAACGACACCTCCGCGTCCGCTACCTCTTCTCCCTCTCTACCCGGCACGGAGCTCGAGCGCCGCGAGGAAGAGTTCAACCTCATGCGCAAGATCCAGCACCAAGCCTCGACCCGCCGCCGCTGGATGGCCATGTCCGTCTCCTTCTCCTCCTGGCTCGTCCTCTGGCTCGTCGGCGCAAAGGTCTTTCAGGAGTGCGAGCGCCCTTACCAGAATTGGTCCTATTTCGAGGGCTTCTACTTTGCCTTTGTCACTCTCACGACGATAGGCTACGGCGACCGCACCCCCGTCTCCAACTCGGGCAAAGCCTTCTTCGTCTTCTGGTCCCTCCTCGCCCTACCCACCATGACGGTCATGATCTCCAACGCCGGCGACACCGTCGTGAAGGCCGTCCGAGACGCCACACTCGAACTCGGCAACATCACCATCCTTCCCGGCGAGCGCGGATTTCACAAGGATCTAATGTCCGTCCTCCACCGCCTCACCTGCGGCTTCCTCTTCCACCCCGCCGACGAGGACTCGGATGAAGACTCGGATGGCGAAGACGACGCGCTCCCGCCAGGCTTCCTCTCCAACGCCCACCGCATACGTCGGGAAGAAAACGACGACGACGATAACGACGAAGAAAGCGACGAGACAGAAGCCTACTCCACCGTCCTAGACCGCGAAACCTCCCGCGCCCCTCCACCATTCTCACCAGAACCAAAAGACGCCCAAGCCCGCCCATCACCCCGTGACCGCCAGATTACCACCAACAACACGAACAACAACACCAACACGACCCGCCGCCGCCGCCCCTTCTCCCGCGTCCGAGATCCCACCTCCGCCCTCCCAGCCTCCCGCGCAGACTACCACTTCCTCCTCATCTCCGAGATCGCCGCCGTCCGGCAACACGCCAAAGAGAAGCCCGCGCGGCGGTACACCTTTGCCGAGTGGGCGTGGTACCTCAAACTCATAGGCGAAGACGAATCCAGCTCCGCCACGCACCGCAAGGCGCGCCCGCACATCCACTCGAAAAAGAAGGCGAAAAAGGCAGCCAAGAAACAACGGCGGAACGGGGTTGTCGATGAGGAAAACGCAGAGCACACGGAGGCGGAGTGCCCCGACGAGGATAAGTGGTCCTGGGTCGGGTCGCAGTCGCCGCTGATGGGCAGCCAGGAGGAGTGCGAGTGGATCCTGGAGAAGCTTACCGAGAAGCTGCGGGACGAGCTTGATGTCGTGCGCGGCGAGGAGCTTGAGAAGAAGAGTACGGTGGACCGGGAGCGGGATCTGGCTGATGAGAGGAAGGGGAGGGATGAGGTTGATGGGTTGTTGAGATCGTGATACCCCCCCTTTCTGAATTGTCATTTGTATTGCGATGCCACCGCGTATGTAAGCTTTGGAAACACTTTAGCCGGTTCAGATATTTCATCACACTTAGTACCCATACATGAGAGGATAGCTACTTTTTCATGATCTATACAACATACATACACAAAAGAGATAGCATAATAACAAAGCCTTGAACACCATCCACATCAGATTCGTGTCAAGTAAAAGCAACCCAATCCACAAGATCACGCGTCACACAGGCCAGACACACAAAGAATAACCTTGATATCTCATAGCGAGAAGGGGGGGTATCAGTATCATTAAGTTTTATCCATCCCCACGTGAGGCTGCAGAAGCCTCCAACCGTGGAAAAGGTTATCTGGTATGCCAGTAGTCCTAGGGCATTGCCTTTCTCAAGAATACAAATATACATACACTACCGCTACACGTATCCGAGCATGCAGCAAAAAAACATGCTCATATCAAAACGCTTTCTCCAAACGCTTTTGAAAGGAACATCCAACAGAACCCCTCCTCTGTATGTCCAGAAGGTAGTCTTCTCCACCTTCATCTTGTTAACGGTATTGTTCTCCTATTCAAGAAGTCAAAGAAGCTTCACCATCTCATTCCACTTCCACCAACGCCAGAAAGCAAATCCACCACGGTCCCAAACACGCCGACCCCCAGCACCAGGGTCTGCACGGCGACAGCCACAACGACTCGCTCCACGAGATCCAAAAGACTCACGGCTAGTCATCTGCTGCCGAGGAGAAGACGGCGGTTACGCTTCATAGCCTGATTCAGCCCCTTCTCAAGCTTCTCCGTCTCCTTGCGCGCAATACCCAGCGCCGACTCGGCGTCCTCGACACTCATGAGCGACATGGCATTGAGTGGTGTGCCAGGCAACTTAGGGTGCGCAGCCCCAGTTCTCTGCTGGGCGTCCACCTGTGCGGCGGCCGCCGCCATGGTGGAAGGGGAGGCGTCGGTGACGAAGCCCTCGCTACCCTGCTGGTGCTGTGGCGAGTCCAGGCCGCCAAACGGTGTCTCGTCCTCAGGAATGTCCTTGCCTGAGCCGCCGCTCTCGGCGGAGTAGATGCCTGCGCCCGCTGCTGCGTCGTGTCCATAAATGTATGGAGCGAGGGAGTTCAGGCTGGCGGCGGCTGTTTCCCGTGCAGACAAGGCGTCCTTGGCACCAGGCGCAGATTTCCAGCTGCCCGGGAACAGGTTGGTGTTACCCAAGTTGAGTCGCGGGAGAACAAACTGGTTGATGTAGCTGATGGCCTCTTCACGCTGAATCTTATTGACAGGATCATCGGAGAACATCTTTTGTGCGTTGGGCGAGGGCGGGAAGTAGGATGGGGGCCCGTTGGGTACCGCTCTGCCCTTGATCAGGGAGAAGCCACCCGGACGGGCCTGATGACGGGGCGCAACAAAGCTGTCGGGCTGGTCACTACCAACTGCTACAGACTTTTGAAGCGCTAGATATCTGCCTTCTTCCTCTTCGGTGAGGTTTCTCAGGCAATCCCCGTTGGGCGTAATGAGTACACGCTGACCTTCCATGATCTTGCGCACCGGCTGACCAGTCAGTAGGATAGCATGATCTGCCTCGGACACCATATTCTTGGTCGTAGCCGTAGGAGGCGGGTTATTGCTCAGGGTCGCAGCGGAAGGCCTGTCAAAGCGAGAGTGAGCGTCGAGGAAAGGCTTGAGGAGGGCAAGTAGTTCCGCGGTGGGAACTTCGCCCGCTTCATGCAGGGCATGGTAGACAACCTCGGGAAAGGTATTCGGGTTGTCGGCAATATCCTGAGACTCCTCTGGCACAGCAACAGCTGTGGGTGCAGGAGGCGGTGGTGTCGGCGTTGAAGGTGTTCCTTCTTTACTCTTGCCCTTCTCCTCCGCTGCCTTGGCCATCTTGGCGGCTTGCTTCGCAGCCTTGCCCTTGGGAGGGGGTAGGTCCACCACCGTCCTCTCGACGATAGGTTTGGGAGGCGGAGTTGGCTCCTTGGGAGGAGGGGGCGGGGTGGCGACACGCTCGACGGGCTTCTTGACTGGTGTGGGAGCCGATGTGACCGGCTTTTCCTTCTTCTGCTTCTTCTTGCGTCCGAGAATGGGAGCCTGCTCTTCGGTTTCCACGACTTTGGGCGCAACAGTAATGGAAGCGGACTGCTCCTTGTGCGCCTCCTTTCGCTGCTTGCGCTGCTGGCTCTTTGTTGTGTTGCGAACAGGTGCGGTTCCCACTCTGGTAGGGGGTGGTGAGCTGGTACGAGAAGCAGACACAGATGCGGAGACGATAGAGGCACTATCGCTGATGATTTCGCTAGCCGGTGTTCCAGGACGTCCAGAGGCGGAAGAAACAGCCCTGGCCGCCGCAGAAAATGCGGCACCTGATGGTAGAGCTGGCGGCACTTCGGCTTTGGGCGTCGGTACAACTCGCAAAGTCTTGGGCGCCGCTCTCGCGATAGGCGATGCTACACTGGCAGTCGTTGGTGTTGGCAACGCTGGGAAGGCCGAGACGTCAGATTGCTCCGTGGTAGTGGTCTCTGGTTGCTTGGCCTGAGCTGCACTGGTAGCGGCGGCAATGTTCAAGATACCCGGTACAGGCTTCTCCGTAGCCTTTGTAGTTTTGGGCGCTTCAACAGCCAGCACGGGGGATGGACCTGAAGCCGGCGTCGCAGCCTCTGCCGGTTGGGACTTCTTGATGCTCGCTGGGGCTATCTTTGGAGTTGCAGCTGCTGACTTTGCTGGGGTCGCAGGCCGTGGGACGTTTCCAAGTGCTGGGAAATCCTCTTCCTGCAACTGCAAAACAGACTTCCCCTTGGAGGGAGATGCCTGAGAGGCAATGTCCTTTGCTAGCCCACTCTCAACAGCCAAGGCTTTGATGTTCTTCTTGGCTTCTGTCCCACCGGCTTTCTTGCGAGAAGCCTGATCTGGTGTGCCAGTCCGCACGATATTAGCCATAGTCGGGACTGCCGGCTTGGGAGCCGAGGGCGTCAGTGGCGTGACTGGTATTACGGGGATTGGTGCTTGTCGTGGAGCCGGCGATGCGGTTCTCTGTGGAGGGCCGAGACCAGGTGGAGGAGTCGGAGCTGCTGGTCGTGATAGTCCGCCCAGGGTACCGACATAGCTCGGCAGGGGGTCGTCAGAGACCAGTTTGTCTACCGATAGAGTGGCCTCATCGTCGAGCGAAAAGAGATCGTCATCTAGGGAACCAGTTAGCCAAGGGGTTCCCTAGAAGTGGTGTTTTCCTTGAAGACAAGTAAGGAAAATAAGAGACAATAAAGCATGGTAGCAGCACGAGAGACAACAGTTTATATACATGGACAAATGTTTACAGGAACAAGACAAGTCACGGCTGCCATCATCGTCTTCCATGATGATTTGCGAGGACAAACGAGCGGTAAGTATGAGCAACGTGCTATATTGGTCCTTGTGCCACCCCCATCCTCATAACCGGAGGACGGTCTGCGAGTTAACGTACATTGAGGCGACTGGAAGACGATGATGGCTTGCCTGACTGACGTGACCCCATTAACCATGACGACGTGCGGTCCCAAATGAAAAAAGAGGTATAATGCCGAGACGAAGTGTAGGTGTCGGTCCTTGCTTGCCCAGAAGAAAACGTGAAGCGACGCCAAATGCAACCCTTTGCCACTCTCCCCTGAGCAGCCCTGATGTTTTCCGCAATGCTCGCTGAATCAATGCGTGTGTAATGTGCGGTGCGCTCTCGGTCCCTTTGAAGAGCGGTCGTCCGCCTGTGATATGCCGCGACGCCCTCCCCCTCATGATACATGAAGTGTAAAACAAAACCCGTAAACGACCAACACCGACACCTCATCTATCGCGTTGTCTCTCGAGGCTACCAGCCTGCGCCTGGGAAACGCGTATTGTACATCATGTTCGGGTTGTACCCACCTTGGCTCTGTCCACCGAACAGTCCCTGTCCGACTCCGGCGTTGCTCTGCGACTGGTGTTGCATTCTCGCTTGCAGGATACTCGGGTCCGCAAGATCAACTAGACCACCTCCTCCAGAGGAGGAAGTGTTAGCATGTCTGTGCTTCTTCCCCTTCTTCTTCTGCTTGGGACCGAAGTCTTGGAATGCTCCAGGCTGGTTACCGTAGAGCGACGCCAGGAGGCCCGAAGCAGGAGCTGGGGTGGAGGAGGTAGAGGATGGGTACTGATTAGAGAAAGAAGATAACATGTACTCACGCTTACCAGCATCATGACCCTGTCCATTGGTTCCCCGACCCCGAATCAACGTCTGGAGAAGCTCGGCGGAATCCTTGGAAGTCGCACCGAAGGCGCCACCGAACTGGCCCTGTCCAAACATGTTTGGCGGAGTTCCTGTCGACTTGAGACCTGGAGGAGGTCCGGGCATGGAGGATGCATAATACTGGCTGCCTGGCTGCGAGTGGAAAGCGGAAGGCATCATGGCCGTCTGCTGGGCCATGATTCTTGGGTTGGCGGCAACCTTGACTGAAGCTGAAGTGCCGGCGGTGTCATTAGCAAAGCTGAACCTAGATCCTTGTCTGTTGTGGCCGCCACCTTGTTGCTGAACCGCAGAAGGCTGCGCAGTTGGGATCCCAGGAGGCAGGTGATCGCCGAAGCCGCTCTGAGATCGAACGAAGAGCTGTTGTTGAGGCGTCATGGACCGGCTGCCACCAACAGAACTAGCAGAGACGGAAGCTTGACCGAATCCAGAGCCAAGTACAGGACCGAAAGGGCCGTCGTTGTTGTTGCGCTGGATGGGAGGCTGAGTGCCAGGTCTACGCTGCTCGAAGACGACGTCGCGCGCAACATCTCGGTCTTCGGGCTCGCCGCCGAGCGCTAGACTGCCCCCAGTCTCCGGCTCGCCTTCCGAGGCCTCTTGAGGCTCGGATTGTTGCTCCTGTTCCACGCCGAGGCGCGACTCCTCTTCTTCGCGCATGGCTCTTCTCTTCTCGCCTCCGCGGGTGTCGAACATGGGAGGGTAAATGGTCTCGATCTGGTTCGTATCCGGCGCGTTGTATGAGAAAGGGCAGCCCTGCATAGCCTTGAGCAGCTGTCTAAGCAGATTCTCTGGAAGGCTGTTGGACTTTCGGTTGTCAGCAGGAGCGGTCGGCTTCGGGGCCTTGGTCTCGGTCGGGGGTGCGGGGGTTTCCTTTCTCGAGGGGGTCTCGTCAATGGCCTCGGGTACTGCCTCGGTGGTGACGGGGAGAGCTGTCGAGATTGCAGGGCTTGAAGCGGCGCCGCTAGTGGCGTGGCTTCCCCTGCGGCTGCGCTGAGGATTTCTTGCCCAGTTGGCAGAGGCAGGCAGAGCTGGTCCGTCGCCGCCATTCTCGGAGCCGTCCTTGCTTGACGATCGTGCCATGGGTTGAGAAGCGGGAGCCGCAGGCGGTGCGGTATTCTGTTGTCGAGAAGCGGTGCGAGACGGTCCGCCACCGCTGCTCGAGGAACCACCTCCAGGGAGGGGCCGCTGAGAGCTGATGCTGTTCATCGAGGATAGATCCTGTCTAGTGTAGCTGTCCTCCTCGTCACCCAGCTCATGCAAGAACATGCACTGCCTGTTGGTGCACTGCTCGTGCCGCAGCCAGGCCGAGCAGTACTTGGTCGTACCGAGCTGGGCTCTGAGAACGCGGTCGCCATTCTGGGAACCGTTGACAGCTTGGATGCAACGTTGGGCGTCTTCCTTCTTCTCGAAAGTCACATAAATTCCGAGAGACTGGTGTTGGCCGTCCTGGCTCTTCCGACTGCTAATCGAGATTTTCAGGATGTTGCCGTATTGACCGAAGAATTCGGGCTTGCGAAGCGTCTTGAGTAATTCGTCCTCTCGCACTGTGGGTGTCAGGCCGGTCACGTAAACCAGGTTCTTCTGAACGACCCGGACGCCGATGAGGTTTTTGCGATTTTCCTTCTCAACCTCGCGCTTCTGAACCTCCTTCTGCTTTTGTTCAACAGCTCGCTTCTTCTGGTTCTTCTGGATGTTTGCTCGGAACTCGGCGACCCTAGTGTTTGTCAGCGTGGCGTCGACCAAGGTGGTAGGAGGGGTACACACTCTTCCGTAGTGACAACCTTCCACTGGATTGTCTTCTCGTCATAAGGTCTTCGGCATGCAGGACACAGGCCGTTCATGTTGTTCTTGATATTGTTGAAGCAGAACTGGCACACCTATGAAACTGTTAGAGGTCGAGGTTCTTCGTCCGAGGCAGAAACGATGGAATATGGAAGTCGCTGTTGCCGTACCTGGTAGCCGCAAGGGCATGGTCGGAAATTCCGATCTGAAAGGTCGAACTCCTCGATACATAACGGGCTGTAGTGGAGAGAGTCAGTTCACGATGCCCAACGCCTCAAGGTCTCACGCATGAGTTGCATGCAAGCAAGATGCGCGCGAGGTCAGAAGTAAAGTAACATACCATGTATCATCCTCCTCGTCGATGAATGTGTCTTGGGGTGCCATGGCGACGATCTGTGGCGGTAGGTATATTTCGTGGGGTTGCGGGAAGGTTGGGTTTCGATTTGTGAGTGGAGGTGGTTAGGAGAGGGAAGTTGTTCAATACCAGACAGAGGTGAAGCCAAAGCCTTTCTCGGATGGGTCGTCTGCTGCACTAGAGCGTGGTGTCTTAGGTAAGATGGACCCACTGGATGCCGTCACGTGCTGAACACCAATGACAAGCCAATCAAGGGACCGAGAATATTGCAAGTCAGCAGAATTTAGATCCACCCCTCCCAGTCGCTTGGGCAATTGTGAAGGAAAGAACGCTCTTGAGTAACGGCAGGGGCGGTTGCTTGGATTTTTGAAAGGAAATCACAAATTTCAGAAAGGTGCACAATATTGGCAATTGTATTTTAACCAAAACTTTGAGTTCTTTTGAATTCTCTGCAAAGTTTTAGACCGTCAAGACACAGAGGTTGTGAGCACTTCGTCCAGCCAGTTTGCCGGCACCTTCAGGTCCGCATCGGGTGTCAAAAGCACCACCCTAGGGGTGGACCTACCGCCGGTTAGCTTCTTCCAATCCCCAAGCATCGCGAATGCACAGCATCATCAATCAACTTCCCCAGAGGCAACAAGCCCCCCAGCACCGCAACAAACGCAACAATGGCAACGAAGCTCTATCGTAGTAGAGCTCTGGCGGGCTTGCGCAACTGCCGCCCCAGCGAGATCCGATCCTTCTCAACCTCAATCCCTCAATTGGCCGGCTTCCCGACCGGCTATCCCAAGGATGCCGAAAACCTGAGGAAGTCTCCTCGCGAGCACATTGGCACCCTCAAGGCTCCTCTCATCAACCCTGCCGACAAGTACGGCTCCAAGGCCGATAACCTCCACAAATACGGCTCTTGGATCATGGGCTGCTTGCCCAAGTATGTCCAGCAGATCTCCGTCTGGAAGGACGAGCTCACCATCTACGTCTCTCCCTCGGGAATCATTCCCGTCTTCGCCTTCCTCAAGTGTAAGTGTCAATTGATTCACGATATAGCGTCACTCTCATCTAACACTACGTAGACAACACTTCGGCCGAGTACACCCAGATTAGCGACATCACTGCCGTCGACTACCCGACCAGAGACCAGCGATTCGAGGTCATCTACAACCTTCTCAGTGTCCGCCACAACTCGCGCATCCGCGTCAAGACCTACGCCGACGAGGCGTCCCCCGTTCCCAGTGTCACTTCCCTCTTCGATGGAGCCAACTGGTACGAGCGTGAGGTCTACGATCTTTTCGGCGTCTTCTTCGCCGACCACCCCGATCTGCGCAGAATCATGACCGACTACGGTTTCGAGGGTCACCCCCTGCGAAAGGACTTCCCTCTTACTGGCTACACTGAGGTCAGATACGACGAGGAGAAGAAGCGCATCGTTACCGAGCCTCTTGAGCTTACCCAGGCCTTCCGCAACTTCGAGGGCGGCTCAAGTGCCTGGGAGGGAGTTGGACCTGGCACGGACAGACGCCCCGACACCTTCAAGCTGCCTACGCCGAAGCCAGAGGAGAAGAAGGAGGAGCCGAAGAAATAGATCAGAAGATTCTGACGTGTATATAACTGACTCTAGAATCTTCTTTGTTGTACAACCATTCCGCGTTCCATTATTTGCTTGAACATTATATGGCTGCACTAAAATGTTGGTGAGAAGCGTGGGCCTTGCTGGCTCTGCGCCAGTGACTGTAACGCCTCCCGAAATCGTAACGGTTTTCGAGTCCCATGGTCCTGGAGAAGTCTCAGAAAACGGACTAAAGGCCTTGATTCAAAAGGTACCCAATGTCGAGCATAAGGCTGATCTTCCAAGGTCGACCGAATTGAACTCCGTACTGACTGTGTCACCCTCGTCCGCCTTATGTATACACATGACGTTGGCTGTAAACCGATGCACAGAGCTCGTCTTCGACCGAAACGGCATCGAGTAGGTTTTTGGGTTACAGTGAAGCATGGTCAGGTGCCTAGGTCACGATTTCAACCCAATCCAGCGAGGTAAATCCGGAGTGAGCCATGCTGTGCGTAAGTAAAGGACATGGCTACTTGTTGTCGAGCAAGTTATAGGGGAAGGTACCATGGCTCAATACCAGCACTTTTAACGGCTTGTTGCCTTGAACCGCGATGATATCAGACATGTCCCATGGTAACGGAGATACCTCCCGAGTGCCACCCAGAAGCATCAACCCAACCTCTAAGGCCAACCCAGTGTTGCACCTCATACTGATTGTATTTCCTTTTCTCATCATATATAAGGGCAGCTGGTCTGCCACAAAGTCGTCAATGCTTCCCGGTTCTACATCCTCGTCACTCATCACAGACTCAATATCTCTGCTCATCACCTCTCACTCAATACTCCAAAGACATCACGCTCTCCATACCAACTACTTCTCTCCTCATACTTCATTCCACACTACAGCCAAGATGTTTGTACTTGCCGTTTCCAGATCCCAGCTCTTGTCTGCGGACATGCTGGAGGAGTTGAGATACAAGGCCCAGATGCAATACCACCAAGCCCATGTCCTCGACCTCGCATCTTGCGACGTTGATCTTGAGGACCACATCAATGGCTTCATTGAGGGATACTGCAAGCAGCAGACCTGCGCTAGTACATCATCGTCTTCAGTCTCTCTCGCCTCAAACAACGCTTCCACGAAGTCCAAGTCTAGGCTGAGACGCCTTCTTCACCGTATCACTGGGAAGAAGCTCTAGGTGAACAGTCTGCCCTCTCTCCCCCCCCTTCTCAAAGCCGCCAAACAAGTCACACGCACACAACGCCGGCCTGCTTCCAGTACAGTCATCCGACGTCACACTCTCTTCACTTCGTTGAAGAGCTCTGAGACGAGTTCTCAAGAACTCACAAAGGGTCGATGTCATGCCCACGGGATCGTGAACTTTAGTACATGACATTGACCCTAAGAGAAGGATTCATATCCGCTAAACAACATGAGACCTACCCGCTCGGAGCATACTCTGCCGTGTCTCGGAGGCTCATGAACAACATCAGACGGGGAAAATACCAATCTCGGCGATCGTCACCCCAAGGAATCCAAGTCGGCCATCTCCTCCGATCATCAACACTTGAGTGCCAAGGCATCGGTGTGTCCGGAGCCAGAGCCTAACGGCCTGAAGAGCCCAGCACTTCTGTCAACTCCACTGCGTTGTCAACCTCCCTCGAATTTGCGGGAAGAAATCTTTCTTACGCCAGGTAGTTATCATCAAGCACATTTCCAAGGAGCAAGTCACGTGCTGGAAACACTTGGAGCACTTCTGCCACAATTGGCACTATTGCCTCCATTACTACCGCTGGTATATACATCAGCAGGGCACAGCCTTTCGGCCAGCACGAAGCTCAATAATCGTATATTGAACTGCGTATATCTGAGTACTGAGGGTGGAAGAAATTGGCGAAGCCCACCGATTCCTCCGAAGTGGAAGCAGGTAGAAGAGCTGCTTGAATTACCCATACCGCCTTATGATTTCACCTCTTTCCACCAACAATCAAACAACTACCACCACTACTACGGTAAATAGACCATTAGAACGGCTATCGAGTGGGCTTTTGGGCAAGGTACAGGAAGATAGTAGTCTTCGCCCTCATGCAGCGGTACAGCTGCAAGCTAGACCCTGCTCAGACCTCACCGATGATCAAGCCTGGTATTATCAACGCGAAGGACCAGCTTGCTTGTGTGGATTCTGAGGGATACAGTAGGCTTGATAACCCGTAGTTGTTCATACTGTAATCAAATGGGTTCAGACAATTCATTGCATGCTTTATTGTGAATCACACAAGTCGAAGTTTCATGAGATACCTTAACTTACCTACCTTGCCTTACCTTCAGCATGTGTCTTGCACATGTTCGGAGTTGTAAGTTGAATGAGTTGAGTGAAAGGCCAATAGGAGAGAGGAACAGAGACGACATAATGCACTTACCCAGCAAAAGGAGGCACTATCTAGCACCCATGCATTTCCCCGCCGCCCCGTTAAATGCATGTGATGTCACCACGTCCCACACGCCACTACACGCGTAAATCGATCCCACACTCGAGTACGCGACGCGCCCTTTGGACTGAACGAGGTCTAGTCTCCGAGCAATTGCGCTGACACTCTGCCTTTGCGTCCGAGTCAACGTTGCACATAATTGCTAATATCAACGATCTGCGCGCTCTGGAAGCGATCAAGCTCACGCCTTGCGGTGACGGTTTGCACCATCATCCAAAATGCCACCACAAACCCGCTCCAGCGGCCGGACTCCTGCCGCCGCCAACCCATCTCCCGATCGAGTCTATAAGTCTAGCAAGCCGGCAAAGCAGGCAAAGTTTCCGCATCGACGAACTGAAGTTCGAACGTATAGCGCTCGTAAACCAACCGCTCGCATTGCCAACCACCAGCAAAAAACCTTGACCCAGATGTTTGAGACCACGCGCTCGTCGCCTTTGCGCCTTGATCTATCCGACGAAGAGGAGGAGCCCAAGCCTAGGAAGAGAAGGAGAAAGACCATGGGAGACGAACCGACGCCAAGCTCATCCTTTCACACGCAAACGTTGACCCAGATGTCGCGAAGATCATCCGAGAAATCCACGGCAGAAGAGGAAGAGGAGGAGGACGTATGGCAATTCCAGCCCTCGGAGGATGAGGTCGAGAAGGACCCACCGGTGCTGCCTTCCGGCAACGACAAGGAGAACCAAGTGCCTGGCAAGAAACAGTCGAGCAAACCGCCCAGCAGGACACCCTCCGTCGTTCCGCAGACGCCAACAAATAAACGCGTTATTTATGAGATTCCATCATCTGTAGGCAGCCCGCTTACCCCGATGCTGGCTAGGTACAGCCCGGCGCCAAAAAGGTCTCCCTTGAAAGACAAGTCCACAAACACAATGTCACCGATCCCGAAACTTACAGCATCCGTCAAACGGCCACGAACTCTGACGGTCCAGGATTCTTATGCGACGACGGGCAGCCAGGGCTCGAGCCAAATTGTATCTCCCAGCAAAATGCCACTGCAGCCCACCAAAAATGTTCGCTTCATCACGCCCCATCCTACAGCCAGTCTTGCTCCCATGGAAGAAGATGAGGAAGCGGAGGGAGAGCGCGAAG